CGGGTATTTCACTGCCGGAGTTGGCTACGTTCGATCGATAATGTTAACCAAATTGTTGTCTCGTTGTTGTTGTTGATATTATTCGTTAAACTTTTATGTTGAACATTTGTTTACTTGTAGTATCGGAACAGGTTGCTATCTGAGTTATTACTGTGCACATTCCTGCTAAGCTTACCGATCTTCCGTATCATTTCTCGCTTTGATTGCAATTCACTCTTCAGGAAGTAATAGATGGACAATAGAAAATGAAGTCTTTGCTAGCCGACCTAGCTCTGCTAAGAGTTTCCACTCAGGGACCGCAGGTACGACCATCTCATTGGTGTTAGAGGCTGGTAGCTCAACATCGGTAGGATGTGTTGCTTTGTTATTTTGTGTAAGAATAGGGGATTATGGGCACAACGCGTGGTTGAATACGATCACGATATCAGCAGCCGTACCCTATGTAACCTTCGTATTGATTATGTAGAGGGTTGCAAAGAGTGGTCTGAATGCGCACGTCTGCGTATAATTCGCAAATAGTCTCAGCTAGAAGCCATTGCTTACGCTACCTCATTCAAAATTGGATGGAGTCATTCTGATATACCACTAGAAATATTGGTGTTGTAGTTTGCCCACAATCGTCTCATTTTTGTACACATGACTTGTTTCTCTATTGTGTTGGACCTCGTTTCATAACAAGACCCCCCTCTTGAATGTAACTTCCTACCTCTATACGCCAATCGTATTATCTCAAAGACGACTGACCATGAAACCATCCCATCCCACCGATAAAAGGAGAATCACCACAGTAGCTTCAATCCTTGAGTGAGGCGTGGGTCAGAATTCAAGGGCCACGGTGGTTTGGGTGGTTGAAATTGAAGGACGTTATTGTCAATTTTAGCAGATTTCTACAGATATAGCCACAGGGTGCTGCATGTAAAATTTAGATTGTGGCAAAGCGTTATCTCCCAGCGAGAGGAACAAAGCCTTTGCCGCGGTACCTTTGGGACCTAGAAGATTTGAAGAAGAAAAGTGGTGGACAGTACACGCCCGAGCCTATGCAGAATAAATCGGTGAGCTGTTTTCGTGCCTTCGTCTTCTCTGATGACACTTGAAAATCCTCGTTCAGGCTTGGTGGGCGTCATCCTGAAACAGGACGTAAGATAAATCAACATATAGGTGGTGGAGTCAAGTTTGACTACTTCATGATTGACTACCACAGCAGGTTTGAAGCTTGTTACGTCTTTTGCAAAGTTTTTTAATGTTAGGTGCTGCAAAAAGTTCATGTAGGTACTTCCTCAGCAGTCTTTTGGAGTAGGTCCACAATACGCACTTCCTCTTTAAAAAGTATAGTGGAAAATTACTCTATGTTTATGTGGTCGGATCTCAGTCTTAAATCAAGAACTTCTTGCATTCGATTCACTTATACCAATTATAAATCTCTCCATTAACTCAAGATGGGCAGCAGAAAATACGCTCAAGAGAGACTCCGCTTTCAAAGGCCATATTTTTAAGTAGCGAAATTATAAATCTTAGCTCTTTCCCCTGTCTGTACTGCCTTTGATCAGAAAGCTTGAGCAGACATATGCGCTTAAACATTTGGCAGCTTTTAATATCTCTTCTGTGAACGTGAACGAATATCCAAACTCTAAAGGGATATGTGTATTTTCAGAGGACCTACAGAACCAGGAAAAACATATGACGAGCGAGGGGCTTTGGAAGTCTGGTGCTGTGCGCGATCCAAATAGAAGGCTTCCCAGGGTAGTAAGCGCTTGTAGCTGGAGCACGAAGGGCCATAAACGATTGGATACTTGGCAAGTCGAAAACGATTGAAGTTGGGATTTTTATACCTCAATTCTTTTATTGTCTACTATTTTCGAAGATTTAAAACTAATGGGCTTTGAGCTTTCAATGTGAATGACTAGATTTATCATATGTGGTCGTTCATAACGAATTCGAGCCCTTATGTATGTGAGTTTGAGGATCTATTACTGCATTGAGTGTGTCCATAAACAAGTGCAGTGCACGCAAGGTGAGCAATTTAAAAGTATTCTTCTCAGCGGGTCTTTGAATATAGGAAGAGAAGAGTTCGGGAGCGCTTGTTTCCTCTAAGCGCTACTCGGCCTAAGCGAATATGAAGCAAATGATCAAAAGGGACGGATAGTCGTTTTTTTATTTTGGTGTGCGCCTTAAGCCTCATTTCTTTGAACCTTGTCAGCTATGGCAAGGTGAACGTCCATTTGTTGAAATCTTTTATACTTTTCCACCATCGATATTCTGAAAAGAGCTCGCGAGCCGAGAAAATTTGTTAGAAGATAAGAGAAGCTGAGGAGTTTCCAACAAAACCGGGAGGATGAGGATAATAAAATGTTGTTGAAGAGCTGGAGACATTATGGGATCGGACAGACGATGGCTATATTCCGGAGAATCGCTGTTATTGTTCATTGGAGAGGGGAATTCGTATCCTATTGGGTCCCTTGTTGCAGGTACATTGGTGAACAGGTCAGTTTGAAACTCAATACTTTTCATGTATTTTCTGCTAGTAGAAGTTCAGCAATTTCGTAATTCCGCTAAGGGAACTTCATTAATGATCGCCTACTTTGTTTTTCTTCCTTAGAGGTGCTGTTATAAGTATTTGTTTACTCATAAATGAGCATTGCCGACATTTACACCAGTCACGCATTTTTCTACCACCCTTCTTTCCTATCGTATTGCTATTTTCTGGGTTCTTTCTGAGGGATTCACACTAGGGCTGGGGAAATTTTCTGTGTAGTTTCACTAACCCAGCATTCTTGTGAAACATTCGCAAGGCGAACTGCGGCCAAAAACAGCAGTTAACAAACAAAACAAGTCAAAATTCCTACGTAGTCCTTTTCAGCGTTGAACGGTTTCCGACATTGATCGAAAACTTGGACAGTGATGTGTTCATTATCAAAGCGGGTACGGCGGCAACCATCGTACGACATCAGGGAGATTTCACCGTCATTCGAGTGAGGCACTTTTACTGATCTCTAGGCTTTTTTGCCTACCTCTTTATAGCCTGAACATTCTTCTTATGTATTATTCGTGTATGCATTTCTTGCTATCTTTATTAATTTTTCAACCGTACCTCTGAGTGCTCTTTGAGGCAAGCAATATCGCAGTCTTGCGTGACCAGGAGTCACCCATTTTGTTTCAAGGGAAAAGCAATTGGCTCCATTATACCCCAAATTCCATTTCATGCTTTGTCTGGAACGTAACGCTACCGCTACACGGATAGTTGAGATTGCTTTCTCAAGGTGACAGTAGTAGAAAGATCATCTAATTTACCGATTTCGGTACAAGAGTAGGTGGGACAAAATGCGTCATCACGCTTGGAAGTGCATGTGTTATATTTCGCCAACTTTTGGTAATGCTTTCTAGAGGAGTGTAATGTTAGTCCACGCAGTGCGCGCGCGGCAAATTGAGGCGAGAATAGGTTGCTACGAAGTTTGGTCAAGGCGATCGCTCGCGGCTATCGGCTGTTTGCAGTAGAAACAGACCCTTCAAAGCGCTTTTGGTGGACAGGTGTCCTTGAAGGTATCATCTGTGGGATTGTGGCCCTAGGGATTAGTCTCATCCTTGGAGGGTGTAGCCTGAATCCGTATTAGGAACACTGTACGGATTTGCGCGCACAACTTATCAAAATTTGATGCAGAGGCTGTCTCACGGAAGCTATTTTCACTGGGGTGGGTGAGTTTTACTGTTTTGTCCAAGCATTTACGGAATTATCTTCCTGAGGCGTCCGTTATCAATGAAAATATTCCAGCCATTCTCCATGGACATTAAAACTACTTTAATAGTTTAGTGAAGTACATATGCTAAAATGTTGAGTTGCGCGAAATATGGGTCCGCAGGCTCATGATAATATCTTTATCTACAATTCTTTGATTGATTAAATTGGTTTCTTTCTTTATCGATATCGCTTATGGGGCGTAATTTCACATTAATTTTCACCCAAAATGTTGACTCCATTGATTTTTTTTAGCTTCCTCACAAGCATGAGTTTTCCCTACATCGTACGTGTATGGCAAGGGTTGGTCGGCTGTCACATGCTGACATAGAAGGAAAAATCTATGGTTCAGCTCAAATGCATAGGCGGTTTGGTTACAAGATGGCAAGTGGTCTTTTCCATAAAAAAGACGGTTATTTTGGTCGTAAGGTCAGTTTATTTTTGGAGGTTTGAGAACAGAATGCGCAGCATTATGCTACTGTTATTTTCTTGCTAGATTCGACCTCTGCCACCAGTTCGTGTTCTGGACGAACCTACTCCGCCACCACCACCTAATCAACAGTTCTCTCTGACTAAGGACCAGCTCAGTGGGCTGTTTGGGCACGCAAAAGTTCACAATTTGTTACCAGCTGGATACTCAACAAGAGATTACGACTATTACAAACCGGATAAACCGGACAAACCGGAGTAGGACAATTTAAGAATGTTGTTACCTTGTAATGTACTATAGATTGTTGATAAATGATTAGGAAATTACTGCTCGTTTCATATGAACCATCCCTATTAAGGAAAAAATTATCTACAATATATGGATGTGGGAAACCCCTTCGTAGATGACTAAATCTCCACTTTCACCCATCTGGTGGAACGCCGTCATCTTCCTTCGCAGACCTGAAAGCCGTCGCCTATCGGTAAAATTGAAGTTTTAGGCTTCAGCTTATCCCGGCAGCTCTATTCTCGATTTTTGCACTGATATTATGCAGCAAAATCGAAATTCGCCTTTGGGGTTGGAACGTAGTATGATTTTTCATTTGGACGTGGACGCCAAAGTAATTAAGTGATATGCGTTTATTTCAATTATTCAGGTTTGTTCGGTCGGTTCAGCTCAAGTTCTTGCAGAAGGCGGAGGCCGAGTTCTTCTCTATAAGGAGGAACTGCCACTTGTATTCCCACTGGTAGGCCGACGCATCCCTAGAAATAGGTTATGAAAACGAAAGAGAAACAGAGTGTTGTTTTTCTGTCTGACCTTGGAGTCGGCTTTTATCAGTTTATCCCATGGATCCTTTTCTGGGTAAGATGTTAACTCCTTCTCATCGTCCTCAGTAACGTTTGTGAATGGTACGACGCCTGAATAGAACATTGTTCGATTGACAGGAACTCCTGTGGCGCTATTGGACAAACTGAGTCCAGGTGTAGAAGGAAAGTTAACCGGCTGCAAAGTCGAGAAGGTTGAAAATGGCGTTGTAACAGCAACCGGCAAACAGCTTGTTAGGCACTCCCTTTTTCATTGGATACACTGCCTGGAAGGAGTTTGTCTTATCTTTTCTTGGAACAATCGGGTCAGGGGAACTTTCTCACCATCGCAGGGCACAGAATTGCATCG